GTCTAGACTCACCATGTACACATATAGGAGATATTGGCTTATCATGGGACGTCTCCCAAGAACTTACAAAGCCCTTTAGTTTCATTACCTTTCATTGGATAAACATGAAAATTTTTTCTCCTATATTTTGCAACAAATGTTGACCATTATCAATATGGTTACTCTTACACCATAGTTACCACTATTGAATATGCATAATTGTGTCAACATAATATGATAAGCATATGTACCACATGTATTTTTTTGAATTCACAAAAACATTGGCCAGATGTAATTAGGAATATTTTATACATGAGTTTCCTTGCAAATATCGCATTTTTCTATGCAATTTCTTGCTTTACCCATCTACATGTAAAATTCTTTAGGCATCCTCTCTCAAGGATCCTACTATGTCATAAAATAGAATAACACTTTAAAGTGTCAGTTATATGGATCTATTTCATCACATGCATTCATGTTGAATAACATAGCAAAACTTTTGATACCATTGATTCAAAACTTGATTAAGTTATATAACGACTTTATAATTTACACATTTTGTTGCTTTCCCTCGGGTAAGATTACTGCTTGGCAGTTCCATGTAGATTTATACTCTTAAAACTATGTTTAGAAGTTTTAGATTCATATCAGAATGATATACTTCCAAATTTCGAGAAGTTACAACCACATATAATTATAAGAGCATACAAATGAAATTAATCAAGACATTCTTATGTTTGTAATCCAAACATATATGGCATGAGCTCTTATTTCCCATTTGGAAACCCACTAAAGCGCAATGATTTCTCAAACTCAATAATTCAAACGGTAGAACCACTATTAGTTTTTACAACTTAATCCAATATGATATTCTAAGAAACGACCATATGATTCCAAATTTAGTATACTCATATTTCCATTCATAGTCCTTTCAACTTCATATTGAGTATTTTAATATTCACCAAAATCTTTATCTTGTTTTGATGAATTCCAACCAATATTAGTCGATTTAATGGAAATATCTTCTTCGAGTATAGAAGTAACATTTGATTCTAAATTTCCAAACAAGAAATCAGTACATATTTCTATTGAAATGATAGACCATTATGTTCTAACCGATTCTCATATTCTTTGGATCTATCTGCTTTTATTTTCCCTCTCAAAAATACATATATAACCTAGTAGCTTACATCCTAGATGTATATCCACTAGATTTCATGTGTGATTTTGCAAGATATAATCTATTTCACTTTTAATTGCCTCTTTCCATTGAGGTATTTCATAGGAATCTTTTTCACTGTTAATTCCTTTTTGAAAATTTGAGGCTCTCTTTCAACCATATAATTGTAAGAATCATCTCCAAAAGATTTATCAAATCATGCCCTTTTACTCCATTGAGGCTAAATTTCTTCATCCAATTCTTCTTCATGAGAAAATTTGTTATGCCCAATTATTTTGGAGCACTTATCAAAACATAAAAAGCACATTTGCATTTGTCGACTCTATTAGCATGCCTTTATAAATCTCCAACATTTTAGAGTCATATAGAGGAATACAATAAGACCTACTATTGTTTTGTGCATAACCAATAAAGATGCAACCAACAATCTAGTGTCCAATCCTTACAACCTTGGGATAAGGTATAAAACCTTTGTGAGACACCCCCACATTTGAATGCATTTGTAAGATGATTTTATACCCGACCATACTTAGATGGTTTTTTTTCCGTTTTCTTTTGGGGTACCTTATTTAAAAGGTAATTAGTTGACAACACAACTTCCCCCCACATTGAGTGTGGCAATCCAAAACATAAGCAACAACATGGCATTCATCATTTCATTTAAGATATGATTTTTCCTTTCGGTGATGCCATTTGTTATGGTGAATAAGGTGCCTTAAGCTCATGTTTAATACCATGACTTGCAAAAAATTCCTCAAATGGTGATGCATATTTACCTCCACATTCACTTTTTTTTGTTGAGATGACTCTCAACCTCACTTTTGTACAATTTAAACTTGTACATCTTTACTTTTAAGTAAATTAACATATCAAAGTTTAATGCAATCGTCAATAAAAGTGATAAAGCACTTATATCACCGTTATATGGATTCGACTTCATATCACCCACATTTGTATGAATTAATACAAGGGGTTTAGTTGTCTTTTCAACAAACTTGAATGATTGGTGTATTAATTTTGACTCAACACAAGTGTTACATCCATATTTTGGCTTATATGAAAGTGAGGTATGTGTTCAAGTTTGATTAACCTTCTTAACGTGTCAATATTAACATGTCCAAATCTAGCATGTCACACATTAGAAATTTAAGCAAGTAAGCGGAAGAGTTATCCAACTCATTGATACTAGGCTCATTAGCCAATATATGGAATTTAAACATTCCACCATTCGCATAACACTTGTCTATAAACATACCATTTTAAGTTAGTACAAACTTATTGGACTCAAACACCAAACAAAAATCCATTTTTGTTCAACAACCATCCAAACACTACGTTCTTCCTAATCAATGGAACATACATCACATCATTAAGTGTTAGCTCTTTTCTATGTGATACCATTTCTGGAATGTTTTAAACACCAAATTTAAGTGTTTAGAATCACAATTTCAAGAATAATTTTCTGCCTCAACTTGGACAACCTTATAATTCTTGAGTCACTCCCTCTTTGAGCACACATGGCGTGTAACACCCATATCAATCCATCACTCAATGGAGTTAGCATCCATAGAGTTTACTTCGGAAATCATTCCACTTTGGATGGTGACATTTCTGAAATCATTTATACACTAAATTTAAATGCTTAGAGTTCTAATTTCCAGAAAATATGTTTGTCTCTTGCTTGGACAAAACTCAACATAATTTATATTTGAGAAATTATGAAACTTGATTTCTGATGCAGGAATTCTAAAATTTAATTTCTCATGCAGAAAACTGATGCATAAATTAATATTTTCTTTCAAACAAGAAAATAGGAAAACTGAGGCATTAATTATGATATCAGAAAACTAATATTTTCTTTCAACAAAACTATTTAAAATGTGATGTTTTTAAGTAAAACCAAGTTGTTTTATGATTTCAAAAGCTGTTTTACATAAATTGTAGGAATAATATTACGGAAATGTACGAAAACAAATAAGAAATAGGAAAAAGTTGAGGCATGTGTTTAACACATTGTCCTTAAAACAAATTCGTCCACTATCGGGTGTTTGTTTCCCAGGATACAACAACTAGAAGTGGTTCTTCTAGACCACTCGAACCCTCATTAGGCCTGAATTTTACCTTCAATATAGCTAGAAAAAGAAGATGATGTGGGGAAGAAGAGAGTTTTCTTGCATTCTTTTGGTGTACTCAAATGGTTGTAGAGTAGTGGTATTTATACTACACATTCTATAACCTCCCATTAATCACAAAGATTAATGTGTGTTAATGTGTAATTAAATTGTAATATTAATTACAATTTTAGTTACGAAAGAAATAAATATATTTGCAAGAAAGATCCCTGAACTTTTCTTTTCTTTCTCCCACGCATTAAACTCTTTTATTTATATCTTCCAACACCCTTACTTTAAGGATTAATTTATCATTCATATTAAATCCATGTTGGACGTGTTAAAAAATGGGGAAAACTCATTTTTATAAATTGGTTAACACCAATTTTCCAACATATAAAACCTTGGGATATGCTTGTTATGAAAAGAATATGTGGCTTATCTTGCAATGAGGTGCTGATGTGAACACCATCTCACCTCCACATTAACCACCACATCATGGTGAACTGTGGTGCAGACCGCTTATCATCACACCTAATCGTCATATTTCTGTCTTTGTCTTGTAATTAATTAAAACAATATTTCTATTAAATAATTAAGAAAATAAGATGGATATAATGATGCGGAGTAGTGAGTATTTTATAGTAGTGTTTTTTAAATATGTTAATGATATGACGTTGAGGTGACAACATTTTTGATGTGGTGGTGTGGTGGTATACCCAATGTTCTAACAAGTTCGTCGTGACTCCAACCCTTTACTTGACGTCAAACTTTAACAAAATGTTGTCTTAAGTTATATATGTATAGAAAAATAAATAATAATAGAAAATATATATGGATTACTAATTTAATATAAACTTGTCGTCTTAGTCATGCCTTACAAATGATGTGGCTCTCCACGATTTGTAAAAGCTTGAGGCTTGATATTGATGCCAAGTCACATCTAACGTTATGTATAACCTTGGCTATATCCCATGCCTTATGGGTTGTGTGGAAAATTTCAACAACAAAAGATTCACTTAGACCATCCGGTGTACTCGACACGAGCACTCTCGTGGTTTACGTGGACCACGACCACGACCGTGCACATCACCCCGGTCGGTCGTGGTCGATCATCGTCGTGCAGCTTCGTGTTCACGACGACGAAATGAAACGACCAATGATATTAAATTTGATTCTTTTGACCGTTGAACGGTCAAATTGTTATTTTTTAATTATCATTATTTTTTTCAAAAACACCCACCACATTAAAAATAAAATTCATCATTTACATTTTATCAAATTTTACTCTCATTCTAAACCAAAAAACACATGAAAGATTTGGAAGTGCTAAATTTTTTTGACTCGGATGATGACGGGGAATTCATCTCGGCCTTCTTCAATGTTGTGCAACACATTCACGATGAAGAAAGTTCGAATGTTGCTCGTACAAAGGCGGTCGTCAATTGTGATCGGCAAGCCGCACATAACTTATTGGTACGTGATTACTTCGCCGATAATTATCTTTACAATGACGACGCATTCGAACGATCGTTTCCGTCTATTGTAATTTATGTTTTGGGAATCTTTCATATATAAAGTTTTAACATCCGATTGTGAAATTAATTAAACCGGTCTAATTTTATGGGATTTCCGCTACAACGTACTTATATCCAAACCCTAATATCATACAATTTGCATCACATGATTAAACAGATTATCGAACACTGGCAATCAAATTGAAAAACATTGCATGACGTGTATTTTATATAAGATGTTTGCTCACTATAATTTAATTATTGATAGATGCAGAAAGCAACATAAATAACATTAACATGATAGATAAACACTAGAAGAGTGTCCTTTTTTTTAGCCCAAAGAGTAATACTCAACTTGCGGCTACACATCAAACCTTCCGTTGATCGCTAGACTGCCGATATTGGAAATGATCCTTTAGGCTCAAAGGCATAGAACGATGAGAGGGCTTCGTATGTCCTTGCTCCGTCTACAAGGCTAACACTCTCGGTAGGATGAAATTCATCCCAAAATATGTAGTTTTCCCTAGCACCACATGGGATTTCGTTGGGGGCACATAGCCCTTCACCAATTGTGGTTGAGATATTGCAACAAGGTTTATCTGTAACATTGAAATCTGGATGTAGGCATAAAATCATATCAGAATGATTACTTAACCAGATCACTTAAACTTTTGCACAAATTACATTTCCTAGGGCATCATGTATCTAGACCCAAACAAATCATCAATTCCAAACTCATTCATATTTATAAAGACAAAATAGCCGCTTAATTAGTCATAATTTACAACAAATTTTGTATTTATGCCTTCCCTTATAGGTTTTATACGAAACTATTTGAATAATTCTGATAGTCAACTTTTGACCTGATCGAATTAAAAGATATCCAAAATATGAAAAAACAAATATGCCAACACAATTCTCTTGTTCGTTTGATGTTAAACATAACTTGATAACTTGATTGGACAGTCGCTTTTAGCTAAACACTTCATCTTAATTTTAATATTATTCACTCATGGTTGAAATATTTTCATGTGAATAACAATCCAAATATATTTATATTAATTAAAGATAAAAGTCATGGTACACACATTTACCAATATATCAAACTATTGCCTCTGTATATATTTTATACAATTTTATTATTTAACTAGGCCAATATTTGTATGGTGAATATGATAAAACCGCATACTTAATATTAGCAAATACATATTAAAAATAATTATGTTATTAAAATTCACTATGAAATATTAAGTTATAATTATTATGAGAGAAATTAAATTGATTCCTACTTTTTATGCCTACAAATATTCATACCCAGTAATATGATGACACATGTCATTAATCCACCATTCAATTCAATTTGATTTGATATATTCCTAATATATTCTTAATGAGATAGTTAAAAAAATAATGAATGTTGACACTTGTAATAATGTTAGTGGATAAGAATATTTGTAGGCATAAAAGGTAGAAAATAATTTAATTTTTCATAAAAGAGAAATTAAATTGGTTTTTAATTTTTATGCCTACAAATATTTCTACCAATTAATATGATGACAGATGTCATTAATCCATCATTCAATTTAATTTGATTTGATATATTCCTAATATATTCTTAATTAGATAGTTAAAGAAATATGGAATGTTGACATTTGTAATAATGTTAGTGGTTAGGAATATTTGTAGACATAAAAGGTAGGAATCAATTTAATTTCTCATAAAGGAGAAATTAAATTGGTTCCTACTTTTTATACTTACAAATATTCTACCCATTAATATGATGACACGTGTCATTAATCCACCATTCAATTTAATTTGATTTGATATATTCCTAATATATTCTTAATGAGATACTTAAAAAAATATGGAATGTTAACACTTGTAATAATGTTAGTGTGTAGGAATATTTGTAGGCATAAAAGGTAGGAAGCAATTTAATTTCTCATATATATATATATATATATATATATATATATATATATATATATATATATATATATATATATATATATATATAACCCGTGTGAACCACGATTATAAAATTACTTAAAATTTTATAATAAAAATTTATATTTATTAATCAATTATTTTAAATAAGTCATTTTAAATAAATTATTAATTAACAGATATATCAAAAATTTAAAGTTATTATAACTTCAAATTTAACATATAATTTGAAAATGTAAATTTGAATTTTGAAATAAGTTGCCTAATATATCTACATGACACATGCCATAATATTAATGAAGAGTTGTATTAGAGTGACATTTGACAAAAGAAGATTAAAACTATTCATTTAATAGAATAGGGATATATATATATATATATATATATATATATATATATATATATATATATATTATCAATTATACACTGTGTGTGTTCAACTATTATCAATTATACACTGTGTGAGTACATCAATTATCAAAAATATTATCATGTCTTCTGCAGTGAGATGATGCTAAATTATTGCATGAAAACAAACAACTTTTATAAAGATGAAAGAAGATGCTCCATTATCGCCAAAGAAGATTTCCATTATCAAAAAATGACAAAATATGATGCCAATTTGTCAAAAGCTTTAAAGTTTTGTCTGCCACATCTACACTCTGACAAATGCAAGTTGATTCAATAATTCTCAAGATGATCCGGTAATCCTTCGGTTTCCCGTCTCAAGATGTTTCAAGACTCCAAGACTCCTATATATATATATATATATATATATATATATATGAGGGTTCAATTGAGAAAAAAAGGTTGAGAATGACGGAATCATTCTCAGCCACATATTTATTTTGCCGCAAAACACTTAGGCGTACCGGCGGAAATGTATAACGGATACACATGTGTTTTTTTCCAACCAAACATGTTTTCTTAAACTATGTTAATCATTACCTTAATATACCAAAAACATACCTTTTTTTTGTTTTTTTTATTTTTAGAAAGCTATTTTTATCGAAAAATTATTTTAAATATATCAAAATATATAATTTTTTATTCTCTATAAATAGATATCCATATTGATATAGTTTTAAGATAAAATAATTTTTTTTTAGAGTTTCAGCTCTCGTTATTAATAAATGAATAAAAATTCATCAGATTTTTATTACAATATATTCGTTATTCACTTATTAATAAAAGTATGCTTAACTTTTTTTTTTTACAGTTTGAGTATCGTTCATATATAAATATAACATGTAATAAAGTTTTCTTACTTAAAGTATATTTTTTACATCATCTTTAGTCATATATTATATTTATATATGAATCAAACGTGTATTAGTTGTCGTCATATTTTATATTCATATATGAATAAAATATTTATCAGGTTTTTGTTACAGTTAATTTGTTACTCATATATGAATAAGTAGTATAAATGATATTTAAACTGTAAAAAAATTAAAAATATTTTTTTATTCATAAGTGAATAACGAATGTATTGTTGTAAAAATCTGATATTGTTCTATTCACTTATGAATAACGATAGCTGATGAAACTATAAAAAATAAAATTTTTAATTTATCTTAAAACTATATCAATATGGATGTCTATTTGTAGAGAATAAAAAATTATGAATTTTGATATATTTAAAATCATTTTTCGATAAAAATGGCTCTTTAAAAATTAAAAAAACGAAAAAAAAACTATGTTTCTGTATATATTAAGGTAATGATTAACATAGTTTAAGGAAACATGTTTTGTTGGAAAACACATGTGTATTCCTTTTCCATTTTCCGCCAGTACGATGAAGGCTTTTGCGGCAAAAATAAATGAGTGACTGAGAATGATTTCCCCATTCTCAACCTTTTTTATTTTCTATATATATATATATATATATATATATATATATATATATATATATATATATATATATATATATTCGTAGAAAAGAATGTAAAAAAGTTGAAAAAAGTAAAAAAAAAATGTTGTAAAAAGATGAATTCGTAAAACAAATAAATAATTTTGGGGTGAATTTATAAAAGAAAAGTTTGGACAATATTCGTACCAAAATTTAAGTTTTGACAAAATTTGTATCAACATTTTAAAGATAAGTAAAAAGTGTAAAATTAAAATATTTTTTTGAAAGGGACTCGTAAGTTAATCCTAAACACCACCTATATCTGCTAATGAGATTTGAATCCATGACCTCTTATTTGAAAGAGTAACTCCTAAAATTAAAATATGACATGGTAAACTATGTATCGCAGATTAAAAACAAAATCTTAGAGATCCTCACTTTTTTTCTTTATAAATTTTTTTGGGTTTGTTTACAACTTAGAAAAATTTTACAATAATTTCTTTTCCAAAAAACAATCTAACCCTATCACTCTAATTGTGTAATTGAACACAAATAAGGATTCAATGGTCTGCTGAATACAACTTAAAGATAAATGACTTAAAGAAAAAAAATGTGAGGTATTTATGCTTATTTTCTAACATTAAAACTAAAAAAGCAACTCGTTAAACGATCAATTTAAGATCGAACAAATGTATTTGAATGTGATAAATATTTACATGGTTCATAATAAGAGAAATTAAATTGTTTTCTACCTTTTATGCCTACAAATATTCCTACCCACTAACATTATTAGAAGTGTTACATCTTTTCTATTAAGCCGCTTAATTAGTCAGATATGAACAAAGTTCACTATATTAGATTCCATATAATATGTTGAATACCACTTTATCGGGTTGACATCTACACCATAATCAATTAGAATTTAGCATATGTACTACAAAAAAAATATAATTGTTGTATAAATGCTAATATACTCGGATTTCATGATTGATAATAGATTTTATAAAATATTGAATTTATATATCTGTATGTTACTGGTTTTGACATTTGTACAATGTACCTATGGTTTTGAGTTCTTTTAAAGAACACAAAATATATAAAGTTTGATGTGGAAAAAGAAAAGAAGAAATTTGCAAGCAACTTACCATTAGAATATCCAAGAGGAGGGTCAATGAAGATGAACTTTGAACCAGAGAGTTTGCTCTCGAGGTCACCAAGAGCAGTAACAAGCTTGGCATTGAATTGTATAATAGCTCCATTTACAGCATCCACACATGTATTTGTGTTAAATCTCTTCATCATTGCTGGTGTACAACCTATGTATCCAGCTCCATGTATCCCAAACTTTCTTGCCCCATATTTATACAGTGTCTGGATTCAAATTAAATAAAGATTAACTTATATACAAAAAAAATTCCTAAAAGGAAGATTTTGGTACTGACGGATAACTGTTTGGAATATTGTGTGACGAGGATTTCGGCATATTGTTCTGGCGTGTATAAGCTGCTTGTTCGATAGTATTTCGGATAAAAGTAATTGTTAATGTAGTCATTATTGCCCATTGCAACGGTGTATATGCATTTGTTGAGGTGTTGTCCAACTCTGGCTAAACTCCCATTACCGATCAAGTCGACTAGTTGCAAAATTGTGATAGCATGATTTGTTAGTTGCTGATTCAAGCATATCCTGCCACCCTGTCATCAAATTATAGTTACCATTCGGTTAATTAAGCAATCCAATATACAAGAGAGTCATCATTAGTTTTCATTCATGTTTATTCTAGGTAACACTTAAATCGTGTTAGCATCAAATAAATCTCTTTGATTTAATGAAGCAATTAGGCTACACAATTTGGTGGATTTTCATAACTAATGTAATACTTTCATGCAGACGTTAGTTTCAAATATTTGAAACAGATATATGCTTGCATGCATTTTTTAAGGAAGGCATGCATAATGTAAAATTATATAATAAAAATCTACCATATGTTCAGCGGTTTCATCAAGAATTCCAGCAGCACCTGATGCATAATTTACCCCTTGAACTATTTCGTCACGTCTTGCTGTTGCAAAAGGTGGAATGAAGTTTTCAAACCCTAGTAGTTGAGCTGGGAATAATAGAATAAAATAGAAATTAAGTTGAAGTTTTAACATTTAACATTACAGATTCTTGATTTCCTAGAACCATGAATATTTTAGAAAATATTATAGAAAGAGACCTACAACGTCCACAATATTTCGACCATTTGAAAATCTCCCGGTAGGACCATCGGGAAAGTCAATTCCATATGGTGCATAATTGGCTTTTGCCGTCGTAACCAAGTGGTTGTTATTGCCATTATCCATTAATGAGTCACCAAATATGAAATAACAAGGTACCTGAGGAACACTATGTGCAAAACATAATAGTGTTGCTGACAATATAATCAAAATCAAAGCTTGAACAAAAGAGGTCATTTTCCTCCTTTTTGGGTTATTCAAAAAAGAAATTAATTGATGGTTTCTTTTGAATGCCAAATGAATGGATGTTGATGAAGTACTTATAGACAATATATGTTTGGTCTATATACGAGTGTGTCCTTATCAACAAGTTAATAGGTAGAGCCCCCACCCATATAATATATATATTAATATACAACATTCGCATGTGAACTTTCTTTGTTTTGTAGCAGGCTTACTGTTTCTCTAATTCATCCTTTTTGAGATCATCGCTTCTTAAGAACCATAGATATTGTATCCAAAAGTTTTCTCACATTCAACATGATATCCATTTAGCCAAACATGTTTAATGTGTCAAATACTATATTGATTTAAACATCATTCATGTGCCAATCATGTTTCTTGGGATATTTACCATGATAAATATTATTTTATGGTGTCGAGGGCCGTCATGACTCCGTTGGTAGGCTGGCCACCATAATTTGGAAAAAATTAACTACTTTAGCACAACTTATCTTAATTAAACTTATAGTGGTGGCTCACCTTTATGTAAATAATAATGGTCCCTCGTCTCAGAAAACGTCAGCAAAGTGATGCTAATACCATTATTAGCTTTAATATCAAAGATGAAACATACTTATTATTTTTTTACGATTTATTTAATTTGTTTGTATTTAAAACTTTAAAATTGTTGATATTTTGATACAAGTTAATACCATAAAAGCAATTAGTTTTACAGTCTAAATCTAAATTAACTACATATGTTTTTTTTGTTTTAAAGCCATTATTTTTCAATGAATTTTTAATTTTATACTTTTAGTAGGTTAGAAAATCATGATCTTGCCGACATAACAGTTTTGCTAATGTCGCAGGGTTACTGGACTGCAAATTTGATATGCCAACGGACTATGTCTAGATGACGTGACATCACATATAAAAAAACATGCAAAAGCGTTGGGGTGGTGATTCGAACTTATGAACTTTATTTTTTACAACAAACATTGGAATGTTAATATTATGCATGATCATATTACTTTTGTATATATATATATATATATATATATATATATATATATATATATATATATATATATATATATATATATATATATACATTGTAACACCCGCAGATTCAGGCTAGTCAATTAAGATATACAATAAACGTTAAAAATGATTTTTTTTATTATAAAAGATTATCTAGGATAAATAATCTTAACGAAAGTAATAGTTATGGTCAACAATTGTAACCTATTTGACGTAATAAAGAAGAATTATATTAATATTATGTGTTTCATGATTATTATAATATAATAAAATAAGAAAAATCACCTGAATCGTCCGTAAATCGTAAAAATAAGTGCGCAAAACATATATATTATTATTATATATTTAGAAATTGTACGTCTTCCGAATCCCGAAAATATAAATTTCGTAGAAATCCGACTCCGTATGATTTAGATATGATTTTTATAAGATATAAAAGTCAGCCGCGCACAACGAATGTATGACATAAAAAACTACGAAGAGATTGATTGACTTTTAGCTAAAGCCGCCAAAAAGAAAATCATAATACTCTTTAAAATAAGAATTTTGAGAAAAATAATGCCCAAAACGGAGTCCGTACGAAAGAGTTATTATTTTAGCAAAATCATTTAACTTTATAAAAATATGGACGAAAAATAAAGTCAAAATTAGCCGAATGAGTCTAAACGAAAGTTGTAGATCTCGTTGATAGCTACGCGTGGATATAAAGAATGTCAAAAACGAAGTTCGTATGAACAAGTTATAATTTATAATTGTATATTTACGTATTAAAATAAAGTATAAATCATATATATATATATATATATATATATATATATATATATACACACACACACACACACATATGTATATATCATTAGGAAGGTATCGACGATGCGGTTGTTATAAGACTAGTGTTAAGTACTTTCGACATTAATTTAATACAAATATCGTTAAGTCTATTTAAAATAGTAGTATAAAGGGGTGTTTAGTTGTTTAAATAACTATAAGGTCATTTAAGTAACTATAGAGGGTGGTTTTTAAAAATTCAGTTACTATAAATAAAAGGCTCTAGGCTCTCATATTTTTTGCACAATTCTCTTGATTCAAGAGTCTTTCTCTTCTTATCCCCGAGCATTTCGGTCCCGCATGATTCGACTTCTATTTCTGTAGTTTTCGTATAGTAAGGTGAGCATTGAAGCGCTACAAGAATCTTTTTAGAAAGATTCAACGATGAAGTTCTGGCCATGCAAAGTCCGGTTTCTCGCAAAACCACTTTTAAGTGAGTTATGCTTACCATAATTTAAGTATAACTTATGTTTAAGTTCATTATCGTTATTATGAACTTATAAACAATATTTATCAATGATCAAAGTCGTTATACTGATTGATCTACTTACGGGAGAGGTGTCTAGAATGGTCACGTTGGTTTGGTTGTTGGATTACAGAAAAGCTATATACTGAAATGGTCCTACCTCCCAAATGTCCTGCCTGGCTGATCCTTACTTGATAGATCTTGAAGTAGACTTTTAGTTAATGATGAATCTAGACTAATAATTAGTTGCAATAAATATTAGACTAAAACTTAACGATAATAATACTAGGTTACGTAAAAGGAAAAGACAGTTTCTAGAAGCGAAGCGTTGCCCGAATTTCGAGTCGTCACTTTAACAAGTGAGTGCATAGTTGTTTTCATCTTACATATAGATATGAAGTATTTAATATTAATACATGTTATATGTACTTATTATCTGTGTTCCTGATATCTATGCTAGATGAACAATTTATAAACGTTTTACATGATTTAAACTGTTGAAACATCCCAAAAATACGGTCCAAGAATTTCGTTTTTAAATCATTATTAAAACCATAATTATCATCACCATAGTATAAAATCATAAATCATGTATCTCAAAATATCATAATATTTGTCAACATATCAAAATCTCATATCAAATATCAGAGTAAATCTCTCAGGTTAGAAGAACTGTGGTGTGTGCCATGCGATCATCCCGAGCCCTTCCCTTTGCTAGATGAAGTACCTGAAACCAAACTGAAAACTGTAAGCACGAAACTTAGTGAGCTCCCCCAAACTACCACATACCATACACATAACATATAACATGTAACATAAACTTTGGGACACCGCCCAGCTGCATCGGGACGAACCTGGCATCGGCTTACCCGGCATCGGACTCCTGCCCGGCATCGGGCTCACCCGGGCATCAGACCACGTCTGGCATCGGGCTCACCCTGGCATCGCGGTTGCCCCGGCATCGGGCTTAGCCCGGTACATACATAAGCATATAACATACATCGGGCTTACCCCGTGTAACATCCCAAAATTCAAGGCCAAAAATTTCGTTTTGATTAAGTTATAATATAAAACCATCAGTAATAAAACATTCATATTCATATCTCATGTCAAAACCAAAGTGTCAATAATCAAAGCATTTTATCATAAAACCATATCAGAGTGTAATCCCAAAGATCTCATGTGCGGAAAACATAGTGTGATGCGCTGCGATCCAGCCGGCTCCTTTCCTTTGAAAACGAGTACCAGAAACTAAAATTGTAAACCATAGGCACGAAGCTTAGTGAGTTCCCTCATCATACCACATACCATACAATCACATAACATACATACTGCCGGCAATTCTAGGGTGCCCGACCTACCCGGTACGGCCATTCTAGGGTGCCGACCTACCCGGTACGACCATTCTGGGGTGCCGACCTACCCGTGTCAAGCCATTCTGGGGTGCTGACCTACCCATCGGTCCTAACAACCGAACCTCGGGGACTATTCCACCCCCTACTGCTACTATCACATATATCATAACATAAACATACTATCAGACATATCTGGGGTGTCCGAACTACCCTTCGGTCCTAACAACTGAACTTGGGGACTATTCTTTTCATACTACCACTATCACATATAACATATCATGCCAGCATATAAACATATCATAACATACTGTCAGACATATCTGGGGTGTCCGACCTACCCTTCGGTCCTAACAACCGAACTTGGGGACTATTCTCCCCTACTATCACTATCACATATAACATATCATGCCAGCATATAACATATCAGGTAGTAGCAAACCTAGATGAATATATCACAAAGACAATCATCTAACTTACAACTCCTACTGGTGGGCCGTCATTGTGGCCGTAGACCCACCACTACTGGAAGGTAACTCACCTCACAATGCTGAAGTCCCGTAGACACAATCCCGGCTGCTGGATGACAGATTCCCGAACTGTCAATATCAAAACATCACCCAATTAATAATTGGGTTCCACCACATAATCATAAGTACATACTTTGGATAATTACTACATTACCCCAAGCTTGGCTTATTCAAGCCCAAGGCCCAATCCTTAGGCCCACAGTCAAATAGGAATCAAAGCCCAACATATGGCCCAATTTTCCAAATTGGGCCCAAGCCTATACTTGGTCTTATTCTAAGGCCCAACATCATATAATCATAAAGGCCCAAATTGTGGCCCATCTATGGCCCAATTTTACAAATTGGGCCCAAACCCCTTACATGGGCCTTACCCTAGGCCCATTAAATTATTTTAGTCCATATGATTATTCTTGAATGGCCCATTAATAATCCAATCATCAAGGCCTAATTGCAAGGCCCAATAATAAAACCAAGTGAAATTAGGGTTTTCACATAAAATGATGATTAGGGTTAAGTTTCCTACTTAACCCATTAAGGACTTAATCTGCTAAGGACTTAATCACATGTTTGGGCTTTTGGGTCCATTAAGCTTTATTGGGCCCATTAGGGTTTATTAGGCCTATTAGGGTTTTAGTCGCTTTGTCCAAACATCCAAACGAGTCAAACACAACAAGCACACCGCCACCCAACACAGCGGCTGGTGGCGGCAGGAGGCGGCAGCCACCACCTCACGGTGGTGGTTAGAAATTCCTTTCATTATTCCGATTTCCAGTTACATTTTACAATGCTATTCTCAACTAAACACACACAACCACTAAGACACACACACATGGTGGTTCATGGCGGTA